ACATGAGCATGACCTGTGACTTGAAAGAAAGAACGCAAGTGATTGCCACGCTCCCGGGTGGCCGGTTGAATACACTTTGCTTGGGTGGGCGATCAATTCGACCCACATGGTCACTGGTGTTCAATTAAGGTCGGTGACCTTGTTTGGCTGTTGCCGGTCATTGTGACCAAAGTTACACAAGACTGCTTTGAATTTTGCATTTGAGTAAGCGTCAAAGGTTACGCTGGGCTGTATGTTCTTAAAATAAAAGTGCCGACATGGGTCATTCAGGTTAGTGCCCCATTCTGACCTTTAAGAATTCCATGGAAGATGTATAATGCGGTTCCTGTTGGTTCCAATAATCTCGAAATGAGCGCCAGAGACTAACCCACCGAGCAAGCTACACAGCAATAAAGCAGGTTGGTTTTGACCTTGGTCTGACCCTCATACCTGACACTAGGTCAACGAAATTCGATCATCCAGTTGTTTCATTGCCTAAGAAACTATGTTAGAGATTTATGGCTTTGCCTAGCACTCCATTGCTGCATCAGATTGAACGATTCCATAGAAATTGTCTTCGCTGAATCCATGGCCTGACTTTGACCTAACGCAGATCAACGACCTAACCAGGTACATCTGATTTTTTTACATCAAGCGATCCGCTGTTCAGTTGCCTACAGCTATGCACAATTTGGCAAGGTTATGCCGTGCCGTTCGGAAGCCATTCCAAAAAACACCTTCAGGGGTCAAATTGACCCCCACTCGGGCCTGTGTTAATAACCCTCGCCCCCATTTTTCGTGAAGCGGACGGATAGCGGGGTTGATCCGCATCCCCCCCTGCTCTGCCGTTTTGAAGCTAAAAAGGATGAAGTATAGCAAAAAGCACCAGTGGATTACTCTAAGCGGGATCTCGCGACTGGTACAAATTTTGCCGTTTTTAGGTCGATATTTGCCCTCATCATGTCAGGGCAGATGTAAAACTTGCCTCAGCCAAGGGTGAAAAAGCGTTTGATTTTTTTCGGATATGATCGGTGACAAAGACTGACACTTTTTCGAACCTATTGGTGACAAACATTGCGGAAATGAAAACAAATTTCGGCAGACAAGACCATGTTACAACAGATTTTCCCATCTCAATGAAACTCAAAGTTTGGTATTGGTCTGTACTCGCCAACACTTGCAGCGTGAGCACATGTCGAAACGTTGACTTTTATAAAATGCTACCAAACCTAGTACCTTTAACCAGGATAGTTTTCAGGTGGTGACAGAAACATGCTACAAACTATATTATATCAGTGCTGACGTCAGCGATAAGTGGTGACAGTGCTTTTCCAATGCCGATTAGATCAGTGCTTTTCCCAGATTTTTCAGCCAAGATTTACATCACATACTTAACAGCATAAGATACCAAATAACTAAGCTTAATACTAGTCGCAGGAATCGTGACTGGCCGCAGCATCTTGCGACGAACGTTATCAGCTTGCTACGCAGCGCTTTAAAGCGTCGTGCAATTTGAGACAGATGGGCTCAGCTGCTCGCTATGCGTTGATGCGTTGGGTTCAGTGCAAGGTCATGGGCTGCTGTTGGTTGTGTTCATGTCGTGAGAAGCTGACTGGCTAGAAGGACGTAGCTAATCGTCAGTTTTTTTTAATGTAGTAGCGTTGAAAAGCTCTGCCAACCTAGGGTTGTTGTACGTGGATACCTGAGCTTTAGCTTCATGAGTAAACGGAGGTCTTTGAAGCGACACACCTCAAGGATTCATCCGGAGCTTCCTGCTACTGACAGGAACAGCGACTTCGTAGTAAGAGGCCGAGCATCGCTGGTGTGGGCCTCTTAAACTAACTGCCCGTTGCGCCTCAGGCTAAGCGCACTGATCGGTGGGCAGGCATGAAATAAAACGCTTTAAGTTATCATATTGCATATAAAGCTAAATGGAGGTGCTAGAAGTGCTCAAAAATGTTGTTTTCCACCTGTTGATACCCATATTGTATGGGGCTTTCTCGAAATAGCTGGGACCATGCTAGGAAGTGTTAGTTCTGCACCGCCAATGATTATGCCGAAATAATGAAGGGTGCCAACGCTTTCAGCTGATTGTACGATGACGTCATGAAAACAGGAGTGATATTATTCCAGGTGCTTGTAGAACCATGTTATCGGTAAATGTAGGGCCACAGGGATGCACTTTTGCAAAATGCGTGCAGGTGAGGGATGGAAGGGGAAGGGGGGGGGGGGAAGTGCAGGAAAAAAAATGTCGGAGCCTGCCTCCGAAATGCACTCAAAAGAGTTTTCTCCCCAAATTTCACCCAATCTTTCGCAGCTGGCAGCAGGGATATATTTTCTCAAAATTGCCTTTTGGGCGCTGAACCCCAAATTATGATGAATGAGAAATGATGGATAAAATGATAGCTAAAATAGGAAATTGCGTCCCCAATTAGGAGGTACAATCCCCCTCCCCTCCCCTCCCCCCTAACTGAATAGGAAACTGCATGCCTTTAGGCTGGTTATGTTAAATATGCCTTTATCTGATAATTCCGTTAGGTGAGTCTCACCCTTCTTTCAGTGTTGATGGCCAGCAAATGAAACTTTAGTGCAAATGAACTCCCGAAACGAAAATGTTTGATGGTTATGGCGTATTGCAGTTGGTTTGTCTTTGCTTTTGTGGTTTATTGCGTTTAGAAATATATTGCAACGATTTCTGAATAGTTGGCTCCAGTTGACAATGCGGACGGTTCCAAATTTCTTCGGTGACAGAAAAGGCGCTTTTTCAGCGCTGAAACAGCTCTCAAGCATCGCTGTCTTGTGCGCTTTCAGCCTGAGCATCGAACTCGTTAATCTTTACATGCTCATATTTTCTACACCATTCCCTGTAGTGACTGACACGAAACAGGCGTGTTTCTTGCGCGGCTCTGAGGATAACGGTTCGTTGTTTTATGTGCTTTCGGCATATATTTATGGAGTATGGCTCCGTTCATGTCACAGTGTAGGCACGCTGTGTACGGTCCGCAGAATCGTCCATTGCCGCCGATAGCCTGCGCCGGCCGTGGATCGCTGTGGATTGCTCCACATTCAGGGAACACAGGGGTGTTATATACGGAGCGATGACGACGGCACTGGCCAGTGCTGGGTGGGAAGAGGACGCAGGGAGGAGTACAAAGGTCGAGTTCTGTGGTAAGGATGAAAGAAGCATCTCTTCTCGATTTGTTTTAAGGAATCTCCTTTTGCCCATCTCATCATGTGCTGTGCTGCACCGTCTTACCTTCTTCTCTGTCCTGCCCTGTCATGTCATCTCTGTTCCTGTCGGCTTATCGTATCTGCTGTTCTAGTTCCACGGTGCCGCCATTCTGCGCTAACCATTGCAAGTCTGGGAAACCAGAGATACGGAACTCGATTCCACGCAGTGCCCGCCCTCCCTGCCAGGGTGAGATGCAGCTACGCCGTATAGCGTCAGTAGCTGGGTGCGCCGTTGATTCCCAATGACGACTGCTGTTCTACACTGTTATCTTCTGTCCTGTGCTTTTATTGTCATCCTGCCCTAGGTGCTAGCTTGTCTTGTTCCGTCCTGTTGCCACCTACCCTCCATTTCCCGTCTTCTGGCTACCATGTCATGCCCGGTGGTGGTGGAACCTGTATGGAGATTGGGGGCCGGAAAACATGCTCTTTTTTAAACATCTCGATTCAAAATACCATTCTCATTTCAGGTTGTCTCCTCTAGAACCCAGACCCATTCTTCCAATCCTAATTGTTTCTACGATCTCAGGGTCGTGATTAAGTCCATGCCCATGCAAGCCACAAAAATCCATATTGTTTTATCTTAAGCATGTTTCTCAGTGCCTGTGCACTTTTGTATTTTGTGACCCCCTGACTCGATCTTGCCCTGTCCCGTTTGGCTTATATGTCGACAGCACCTGTTTCTTCACACGCGCCACGTATGTGTCCAACACGTATTTGTAATAGCCGCATGCGATCTGCTGTCAGCACGTTTGTCAGTACCAATCACCGCCCAGTATTCGCCCGACGTCACGTCACGTGACCACAAAGAGGACAGAAACTGAAGGGAATTGGAAATGGGAAAAAGCACCCAACATTCGGATCGGATAGATGATGGCAACACTGGACCAGAAGCCACGCTTCTAAACACCACTTTGTAGTAGTGTGTCGGCGGTAAGCCAGAGTTGGTGTGAGGTTTGAAGTAAAGGTGAAGGAAGAAGGGAAAGTAACGTTAAAAAAACTTTCCCCGTCGGCTCACTCATCGAACATACCGGCACCACGCATGACGTCATGCATTCCAGCTGACAATCGTGCTTATGACAGATCGAAAGGAGCCTTAACGTACTCGCCAACGCAAGGGCTACCAAATCAAACTCCCGCCCCAGTCAGTCATTGACAAATATGCTGGCGACTGATCGAACGCGGCCTCAGTGTGTGGACTGAAGTAAAAGATAAAAAAGAAGGGAAAGTGAGGTGTAAAAGCTTACTTCTCAGCTCACACATCGAACGCCCCGTCAGCACGCGTGACGTCACGCATTCCAGCTGACAATCGTGCTGACGACGGATCGAACGGGGCCCTATGCTTTCCAATTTTGTGTTTATAGCAGTAGTTAAGTGGGTCCACAATAAGAAAACTTCTGATTTGGTAGCTTTGCAGCACATTCTGCCAGAACTGGCGTTTTCATACCTACCGGAATAAGTACACGGCCCTGGACGCGTCTTGATACAAGGAAGCGATCTGAAGAAACACCTATTAAAATTATTATGACTAATATCTATGGATATGGATATAATATTGGATTATGACTGAAATCTAGGGAAGCTGGCATCGACTATCTCAAAATGGCAAAGCGACCTAATCTGGCATTATCGAGCCACAAAGATTTCAACAGCTGACGGACCTATGCGGTCACGTGACCTCAGGGCCTCACCGTCGGAAGATTGCGTCATAAACTCGACCCTTCTAGCTGCGCGATTTGCGAGAGTTGTGAGTGGAAGGAGCGTGGTGCATAAGGACCAAAAGGCGTGCAGCCATGGCTGACCTCGCTGATTTCTTCGCAAAGAAAGATAAGAAAAAGACTAAGCCGAAGAAGTTTGTCCCTGAAGACATGGGTAAAAAGCTTGAAGAGGCTGAAAAGAAACAACAGGAAAGGGAGCGCCGGGAGGAGCTCAAACGAGAACATCTGCGGGAGGAGCAGCTGGAAATAGATGACCCCAATCACAAAAAGGTAATGAAGCATTTGAGGGGACGGTTCCAATGTGGCGTTTAATACCGACGAGTTAAAACCATTATTCATCGATTTCATGCGCGTCTGAGTGCACGCTTTCCTCTGAACGTTGGTTAGACAAATTTGGCGCATGCCTGGTGAATCATCTCTTATTTACATTGTTTTTGATGACGCTTTCTTGTTTTTTTTTTTGTTTTTTTTAGTGTGCATGTTCATTGCATTTTTCATATCATACAGCATCCTGGTGGTGTGGTATGGTTAAGTATGTGGCTTTTTTCATTTTACATTCTCTAGTCTGCAGTGGCATAGTACTTCAACAAATTAGCATGATAGAAATTTGATCACCTTTGGGCGACATGGTAATCATGACTTATGATGCAATAGATGCTTTTCTTGTTTGGGCTTGTTAAGTTATATTTAATGGTGTGTTTGTTATGAGGTTGCTCTTATCTCAACCTGCAGTTTGATTGGTACATTCCAACAGCAAGAACTCACCAAAAAAGTAAACTGGACATAAGCTGGGTTAGCTAGATCTTGATGCCTTATAAGCTGGGTTAGCTAGATCCTGATGCCTTGTTTCATGTCTGGATGAGATACTTTTCACCTTTGTGCATCAATGTCTGCCCTAGTATGTATAAGATTGTGTCAGGTTTAAAGTATTATAGATGATTTGTAATGAAGGAATTATGTTGATCTATTATTTTGAGCCCAAAATTTGATGCCTTTCCATCATTTTATAAAGGGTAGGAATTTCCATTCCTTTACATTTCCAGATCGCACCCCCAAACTCATGTTTGTACAGTGAAAAGCTTGTATAATGCATCTTAAATGAGACCATCAATAATACTTATTACCCAATGGCACAACCAGATGTGGCAGCATCTTACCTGACAGGTTATTGGAATACCCACATTCACACATTGGTAAAGTTTCTCAAATGAGTTGCAGAGATTGCATAGGAAAAAATGAAACCTTTCCTCTATGGCATTAATAAACAGGTCTCTCTCCAGATTTGGCCCATTTTCTTCTGGAATTTGGGTTAGAAGGAGGGTTTAGAGCACAAGGTGCCACATAGACTGCTGTGCTGTATGTTGTCTATAATTATGCAGTTTGCCATATTGCTTCATTAAATTTGCATGTTTAACATTGGAAAGATGATATATGCATGGTGGCCTGAGGAATATCTGAAGTGAGCATGTCTGATGCATGATCACTGGCTCACCAAATCCAGGAACTATCAAAGTTTCATGCTGACCTGGAGGAAAAATTATTTTGAGGGAGTACCTGTGAAATTAATTGGCTCTCAAACATGGCCATGATAATAATATTGTAATAAATATGACATCATAATTATAGTTGTCATATGAATGCTACCAGGTTATGACCAGTCATACCTTGTCAAAACAATCTGGTTGAAAACAGCTGGCTTTAAAATCAGAGTTGTGCTTGACCCCAGATGCAGTGAAAATGTATTAAGGAATCAGTCACCTTTTGAATCAAAGCTGAACTCATGCTTTTGTGATTTTCTTTCAAGGCATAGTCATATGAGTCAAGAAAATGATTGGTGAGCAGACTCAGATAAGATTGTTAGCATGAGTCTGTTCAGTCTGCTCAAATGTGCATCACATTCAGTAAGGACCTACATAACCATATTAGTGAAAGCAGGTTTTCTATTTAAGATTTTATGAAGCACATGTCCCAGTTTATTTAGGCAATTATTTCCATAACAATAACTTTAATCTTTCTGGAAGCAGGCCTTGTGTCTTTGAATTGGAATTGGTGATACAAGGTTTTACTGGGCTGTTCAGGATCAGTAGTCAGAGAGAATTCACTCCATGCATTGTGAGTGTCTAAATTTGCTGAACTAAAGTCACACCTAAGTCTTCCTCAGACTAAACCTTTCTTGTTGTAACAGAAAAAGTATGAACTATGATTCTGCAGATGCTAGGTACATAGGCACAGCCTGAACTCCACATGTACACAAATGGGTCTGTGAAATGAGCATTAGGTGGAGTAAACATGTTGTATGTTTTGAAACAGACTATATTTGCTCAAAACCTGGTGATGGGAAGGTGATTTTTTGGTTGAAGGCAAATAGTGCTGGAAGTGTGTTTTTGATTGTATGTATTAAATCAGTCTCACTTTTGAAATTGTGTGAAACTCAGCATGCAGATGACATACTGCCAAAGCAATAAGGACTGTCTTTCTGTCCATTAGTTTCTCCAAATGTGTAAAGAAAGTATTCTGAGTACATTGAGTTTGCATTTCATTCAGAGATTAGTAATGTAGCACTGGAAAACTTGTTTTGCTATTTGTGCTTGGTTGCTGAGTTTCAAAGGCATAGTTTGGTTGATGCTTAGGGTATTTTGTTGTTACCATATGTCCCATTATGGGCTGCACTAAAGTGTGCCACAGGTGGTGCAGCCTTTGTTGCATTGCCTATGGTTTTCTATTCCCAGTGAAAGCAGTTCTTTGTCACTGCATGGAACCTCTGCCAAGCCAATAGCTGGTTTGTTTCTTGTTTGTGTTTGTGTCTTGAGTGTTTCAAAGTTGTGTTTTTTGTGTTTATTATGACATAGATTCACTTTGACTTAAGACATTTTAACAACATGCCTGTCATGTCCAGAGAGCCCACAGTAAATTCAATGAGTCCTGCCTTGTTTGTATGGCTAGTGCCATCTATGTGGTGGAGCAGTAAGTGCTCCGGCCTCATCACTGTCCAACAAAGGGATGCTGCATCCAAAATTTTGCACTACTCTCCAAGGTCCACTCCATCAAGTTACTTAATGCATGTTCAGTCTTGACCACTTCCAAAGATTCTAGATACCAACTGGCTCTCTGCCGCGAGTTTCCGATCAGCGCAGAGGATAGGGTCTCGCGCGCTCCCTGCGCGCATCACGGCCTACTGTTTCGGCGACAGGAGCCGGCCGACGAGTGGCAGGACGAGGAGGAGGCGACGGTGGACCTGTCCGACCTCAACATCCAGCAGCTGGAGCAGCCGGAGGCGGGCAGGGCCGAGGGCGAGGTGGGCCCGCTCGACGCCGATGGCAACCCCACCGGCGCCCAGGGCAGCGCCTGGGGCTGGCAGAAGACAGGTGACTGGCGGCGGCGCCTGCACGCAGGGAGAGTGGAAGCGTGCAGCCGCGAGCCGGGCGTGGGTCGCGTATGGTCATTCGTGGTATTTTGAATGTCGTGTATTTGTTTGGTGTGATCATGCTTTGACGATCATTAACGACAGTCTTTGGAGATCCTCTTTTTTGTTACATTCAGGAGTGGGCTGAATCGTGAGCTCCGCCTCATCAAGGTGCCCGTCTGCTCGTACCGGCCATCTGACGCCCTGCGCGTGCGCTGTCCCCGCAGAGGCCAGGGACCAGTCACCGGAGGAGCGCGAGCCGGAGCCAGTGAAGCCGCCCGAGCCGGTGGCGGCGCCCGAGCCGACCAAGGCTGCGGCGGCGTCCACCGGCAGCGTCGGCTACGTGCCGCCGCACCGTCGCAACATGCCGGCGGCGTCGGCGACGCCCAGCGGGCCGCTGGCGCCGACGCGACTCGGCGCCACCCGCAGCTGGCGCAACAAGGCGCCCGACATCAGCAGCGACGAGGCGTTCCCCACGCTCGGCGGCCGCCGTCGAGGAGACGGCGCGGGGCGCTGGGGACAACGGGGCGCCAGGTGAGCGGCCACACTGCTGGTGACGGGGGGTGGGCTGCTGGAGAGTGAGCGGGAGGGGGGGGGGGGGGGGGCGTAATGCTACGGGTGTGGAGATTCGCAGGGAGGACAGTGGCAAGGAGTGGAGGGAGCTGGCAAGTAGCGGGGGATGGCGAATGGAGAGGAGCTGGGGATGTGGCCCGCAAGATGGTTGCGGGGTTGCGGCGGAACAGGGTTAGAGATGTTAGGGGATGCAGGGATGGCGGCCAAGTGGGTGTGGGTCTGAGAGACACCTGTGTGGAGTTACCGTGAAGTAAGGCAGCTGAAATAGCATGTGTCGATGGTGTCTGGGAGCACGGACACTGGGGTGCAGATGCATGCCCCTTAGGTACGCCTGCTGGTTTAGGCTGCCTCATTGGGCAGGGGAGATATTTTTTTGTGGGTCCGTTCGGAGAATCTGTGTCGTGTAGTAAATAGTTCGTGGAAAATTGGGTGGCCGGAAGGCACGCATTGTTATCGCATGGCAGCCCATGCTTTTCGTCGCTAATCACGGGTGTATTTCCTGGTCGATTTCGTGCAATTGTTGAATGATGTTTGCTCTTTTGGGAAAAGCTGCTCATTTCGTGTGACCAATGTGTCATGGTAGTCCCGTTTTGTATCTCTCGTCTGGGTAACTACGCGTAGGTGGGTCACCTGTTTTCGCCGTAGGGTCATTGTTGTTGTTCATTGGTCCTTTGGCACCTCAGATCTTAATGTCCGGTACGGGCAGCGCCCTGTGGTTGCGTTAGCTGACGCACGCCACCCAGGTTGGTCGGCTTGATGCACGTCAAGCAGATCCGGCTCCTGCTGTGTCCTGACATTTGCCATCTCTTGCCAGCAGGCCGGCCGGTCAGGACTTCCAGCGCGTGCGGCATGGCAACACCTCAGGGCAGGACTCGCGGTTACAGGCGCCCAAGCTCAGCCTAGGCAACCAATTCGACGCCCTCCAACTGAACGACGCCTACTAACGCCAGCCACGGCCTGTATGGCGCGCGGGCGCGCGGCGACGAGGCGAGCGTCGCGCGCCGCGCGTCGCCCATTTCGGAACAGACGGGCAGTGCGACGGCGGCGGCGGCAGGGGAGTGCTGACGCCTGGTGGCGGGGCGCGTCGCCGCCGGCCGCCGCCGCGGTGGACAGACGGGACAGGTGTGATATGGTGCGAGGTGAATGGGCGGAAGCGGTGCGGCGGGCCGGGCTGCGCGCGCGCCGCCCGCCGGCCCGCCCCGCTGCCGTTTTTACTCCCTTGGGTTACAGACCAGTGTAATGGGACGAGTAACGCTGTAAATTTAGGTTCGGCGAATACATGCTCTTATAAAGCCTGTTATCGTAATAAAATTATTCGTTTTATGATTGCTTTGTTTCAGCGTGGTGTGATAGCCTTAGGCTGGCCGGTGGATGTAGTCCGTTGAAAATGCATTCATCCAGTCACCTATGTGTTATCCCAGTGAGATAGTATGTGTTGCTTTGCACGCTGCATCCGCTTAACGTGCAACAACACAGCAAATGGGAACTCTGAGAAAAACGGAAGCGTGCCGCTGCTTTTATAGGTCGTGTTCGCTCGCTGAAGTGTCGGCGTGTAACCTCCCGAGTTCTTGTAGCGTGGAGCAACTATACCATATGCGCGTGGCCCGCCGGGAATTCCTGCTTGGGTGACCACCTGTCTTTGATGTTGCACGTTGGCGTCGTTATGGCATGCTGTACGATGTTTGCACTTCGCTTGGAGCCGTCCATTATTTTCGGCATTTTCACAATGGTATGTGCCAGTGCTGCTGCTGGGTCGCGCCATACGGCAGCTGATAGACTGAAACTCACCGGAACATGCGAATCACAAGTTTTTTGGAAGAATGGCAGATTCCAGAGTATCACTTAGTAGGCATCAAACCCGACTGGATTCCACGTGCAGCGCGGATTTGTGGCGGACCGGATTGCGTAATCGGATTTTGCATTGCTCAAATGTCCTAGCTCAGTCAGTAACGTTTTTTGGCAGACTTATGGCTTTGTAGCTGATAATTTGACTGAACAGCTGTGGTGCATTTTTTAAGGCATTGCCTTGCAAACTGTTGGATCGGGCAGTTTTGCAACGTTTCCATACATTCAAATGTTTTGGCAAAGCTTTCAACCGCAAAAAAGCGCGGGTGGCGGCTGTTTATGTCTTGACAGCTGGGCGGAGGTGAATGTGAAACTAGGCCGGGGCCAGTAGGTTGACGGAGGGTCAGAGAAATAATTTGTTAGATGTGCATGTTGACATGTGCGCCGGGTGGCGCGCTCGCACGGATAGACAACCGGATCCGCCTCTGGGGACATTGTGAGCGGGTTGATACGAGAGCTGACCCAAAGACTTACCCACCCATGGGCGCGCCAGCAGGAGACCGGGAAGAATTCTACGCCGCTTAAAAATTGGTGTTTGGTGCATGCCATGGTGAAAAACATCGAAGGTAAGGTCGCAACCCGTGCGCACGAGAGCTGCTACCATGCTTTTTTATGTTGTTCTTTTTTGTGTGTAGGTTTCCACAATCCGTGTCGTTGCAATTGATGCCCCTGGCAACCAGAGACGTTTTTTTTTTTGTACTTCACTTTGATTTTCGGATACTTTGAGCACGATCACCGGGAGCATGCCGTGCTATATCCATGGCCCTTGCCAACTGATCATCTTCGGCGCCGCATCAGTACTCAAAGGAAAATGATGAGACCGGGTCCTGAGCCTCGGGGTGCTGGTCATCACGCTCAAATGCCGGGCCAGTAATGCACTGCATCATGAATATGAATTCAGCATTGCGAAACGTTACATGTTCAAGGCCGGATCCAAAGAAACAAACTGCGCTTTGCCCCCTCCCCGCAGATGGCCCAATTCGGGAATCAACATAGCGTGTTGCTGGACGGCATTAAAGCAAAGCACTTTTTGCAAGACTGATTAAGCAGGGTTGTTTGTTTCTTCAGGTGGTGAGGAGAAAATCCGAGTTTTTAGCAAGGCACCAATCAGGACTGACCCCAAGTTTTCGTTTCATAATCACTTGAATTGCACCGTCTTCTGCGCGCTTCACTTGTTGCAAAGAACGGCTGCTGGCATAGGTGCAGGAACGTTTCAAAAAGTAGGGGGCCAAGCTCAGGGCATGCTTCCGGAACTTCTCTGGAAAGTAAGCCCGGTGACCGGGGGGAGGGGTAGAGATGGAAGCTGTTATCGCTTCTTATTCAATTGTCGTGGCTGGTGTGCTAGGTATGCATCTAGAGCTGTTTATCGCTGGTGCGCAATCTTGTCTATTCGACTCATCTATGTCATTCGGCAGATAAGGTTATCCAGCTTCCCAAGGTTATTCGTCCATTTCAACATTGTCTTTCTTGGGGGACGCGAAATTCCACGGGCGTGTAGGCATTTTGGGTCATTGAGGAGGCATCTGCCTTCACGGGGTAGATGCCAAAATATGGCCTAGACATAGGCTAGTGACAATTTTGAATGTGAATCGATAGCTCACAGTGTGACAGATTTTTCGTGCGCCTTCATTTCGCTGGCTGCTTTTCAAGAGATAAGGCTTGTTGCAGCATTTTATGTGGAAACAAATTCGGAAGCTTGATATTGCCAAAACTAATGTGGCAAAACATAAAACTGAAGATTATTCTTTGACAACCAAGCCACAGAATCAAGGCCCTTCTGTCACATATTCCTTATCTGAGCGCTGTTACCGTCCGCGGCAGTCACTGCCCTAGCCCGGCCGTCTCGCGTATGACTGATTGTGAACTGATCGTATGACTGCTTTGTTGCATATTTCTGGATCAGTGTTGCTGCCAATTGGTGCGTAGAGCATGTTGGACACCTGCAGCAGTATCTTTTTTTCCGAATTATCCTCCCTTACATCACACCACCCCAGTAAAAGCCTCGGGTAAGCTGCCTGCCTTGGGTATGAATTGGCCCAATGAACATTTAATTACCCATCACTCAACGTAGACGACTTGATCTGTTTTTGTGTGCAGGCAGGGACATGGGCGTAGGAACAAAGGGGCCAGGGGACCATGGCCCCCTACTTTTCAAGGGGGGGGGGCAGCAATGTTAACTAGCCCCCCTCCCCACACTTTTCAGATAGAGGTTGCATTTTGCTTACTTTTGCACCAAATGAAACATTCATGCCGATTTACCTAGTTACCACCAGCCATCTCCCTTAAGCTGCGTCATTTTTTTTCGTTTGCTCATTGGCAATCGCTTAGCCGCAAGGCCGACGCCGCGCGGCACGGAGGCTGCAACGCCGGGCGTCGAGGCTGTTATTGCTATGGCTTGCGAGTACGCATGTTCAACACCATATTGCGTAGTTTTCTTATCAGTAAGCAGCTTTGATAGGATCCTGAGCATTTTAAGACGAACATGGGTTAGCTATGCTAATGAAATTAGGAACCCTATTTCATCTACAATCTACAGTCAGGGAGAACTCAATATCTCTGAAGAGCACGGAAAAACACGGAACTGGGGTCTATGTGAAAACATCGGAATACTTGCGGTGATCAAGGATGTTGTTGCGTCAATGAGAGTTCCTGTGCTGATCTGGGGCTAACTGCGCGGGTCAGAAGGCCTCCTGTGTCAGGGATGGAAACAATGTGATACGATATATCCTTATAATGGCCTTCGGATCGACCAGGCGATCCCGCCCCGTGCCACCAGAATGATATCCAGAAGACACTTCGCGATGAGATGGAATGGCCCTTCACCCCTTAACCGGAAACGGTAATGTACCCCTGG